TAAAAAGTTAATCTTGACTGTCACACTTAGAGATTTTTTTTTTTTAAAGCAATTAAAAACACACTTATTAAGCAGAAGTACTGGAGGTACAGATACAAATGTTTGCATGTTCTAAAAGGATGGCACATTAGAAAAAAAGGAAGGCACAACCCTAAGCCAGGACGTGACATTTACCTGAGAACCTTCTGTTTCGTCCTCTTCGCTTTCTCCTCTGGGCTTTTTCCTCCAGTGAGGTTATGTGCAGAAATCACAGCTGCATCTTGAGAATATGCCTTTAAAGGCTTTGGCACAGACCCTTTACCTGCTACCACAACAGGCAGAAGGGCCTCGAAATGCAGGAGGGTTCACCCTTCCCTGCACTTTGTCACAAGAGATTCAGGAACAACAAGCTCCTCCGTGGAGGCCAAACTTTGAGTTTCTCCATTCCTGTCTTCGCACAAAGGCCAAAAAATTCTGCTACAGCATGAATAACGTGATTGCACTGACTTGCCCTTACCAAACCCATGCAGAGTGATCCCGTTACCTCCCTTTGGAACAAAGCCTGAACTCAACCCTCATAAATATACTCAGGAGTCTTCATACTTAACCCTGGCCTCACCTTAGAATCACCTGGAGCATTTAATTAAAATAACATAAATAACATTGATATTCTGACCCAGACCAATAGACTCTGTGGTGTGGGAGAGGGCACAGGTGTTGATCATTCTTAAAATCCACATGTGATCCCATTTTGGGAGACTGGGCTGAGAACCACCTATTGAGATAAGTTTTGCTTCTTATGCATTAAATTAATATGTATAAAAATCACTTTGATGGAATGTTAACTAGGTTTACTGTGGTGATCAGTTCACAATATATACATATATCAAATCAATATGTTGTATACCTGAAACTAACATAATGTTATGTGTCAATTATATATCAATTTTTAAAAATCACTTGAATATCAAAAAATAAAAAAAATTAAAATAGAGAGGAGAATTAATCAGGATCTAGTCCCCCCTAAACTCAAAGCCCTAGCCCAGAATATGACCCAGATTATTTGAAAATATGACTCTTCTAGAAAGAAAATAAAAAACAATGAAAATGGTACATAGAAGAGATCCTAGATCATAAATATTTTTCTCTGCTCAAAGTCTAGGTTACATTTGAAGAAGAGGAACTAATCCTTTATTAAGATAGTCTGTTAGTTCCTCTGAGAGCAACAATACCTTTCACTCAGTTTACCACTATATCTTCTAATTAAGGGCTCAATGCTCTAAGGATAACAGCTACAAATTGGCTTTCCTCTTCAGTGTTTGAAGTTTATTTAGTAGTCCAATAAATTGACATAACCTAATACTGCTTCAATGCCCTAGAATCTCAATCTTGATATTCTAATAGAAATATAAGAAAGCATACAATATATGAATAAATATGTACAGCAAAATGTTCCTTGGAAATTTTTTTCCATCTTGACTGAGATATCATTGACATATAACATTATATAAGTTGAATGTATATGAGTTCATTTGATATCTATATATGTTGCAAAATGGTTACCACCATACAATTATATATTATTTCAGATGTTTCTTTGTTAATGTATAAAAACACAACTGCTTTCTCTTTGTTGATTTTCTATCCTGCAGCTTTATTGAACTCAGTTCTAAAGTTTTTGCAGAGTCTATAGGATTTTCTGTATATAATATTATATAATCCATTTTACTTCTTCCATTCCAATTTGGATGACTTTTATTTTTTTCTCTTGTCTGATTGTTCTGGCTAGGACTTCCAGAACTACATTAAATAGAAGTGGTGTGAATGGGCATTCTTGTCTTATTCCTTGTTTCCCCACTGAGTTTGATGTTAGCTATGAGTTTGTTATATATGGCCTTTGTTATGTTGAGGTATGTTCTTTCTAAACCCAATGGGTTTAGCAATTTTACAATGTGAAAGACTATTGCATTTTGTTAAATGTTTTTTCTACATCTATTGAGATGATCATATGACTTTTTTTAATTTTTCACTCAATCTGGTATATCATATTTATTGATTGGTATATATCGAACCAACCTTACATCCCAGGAATAAATCTGACTTGATCAATGTGTATGATCATTTTAATGTATTGTTAAATTCAGTTTGCTAGTATTTTATGGAGGATTTTTGTACCTATATTCATAGGGAATATTTGTGGTTTTCTTGTAGTGTCCTTATCTGGCTTTGGTATGAGGGTAATGCTAGCCTCATAAAATGAGTTTAGAAGTGTTCCCTCCTCTTCTATTTTAGACAATTCTGAGAAGAATTAACATTAAATCTTCTGTAAACACTTGGTAGAATTCACCAGTGAACCCATGTGGTCCTTGGCTTTTCTGGGTTGGGAGGTTTTTCATTACTAATGCAATCTTCTTATTCATTATTGGTCTGTTCATATTTTCTATTATTTGCAATTAAGTCTTAGAAGGTTGTACATTTCTCAGAATTTATCCAGTTTTTCTTTGTTACTGTTTTTGAGCTTAAAGTCTATTTTGTGTAAGAACAGGTACCCCATTTTTGGGTATTATTGTTTTTGTCATCTTTGAAAATTTAATCCCCCCAAAATAATTCTGCCTTGTTTTACTTTCCTTTTTTTTTTTTTTTTTTGATTATTTGTAAGTGGGCAAGAGAGAATTTCTTCAAATAATTAACTTCACTGACATGAAGAATTTTATCAGAATGTTACAAAATGCTTTAACTCTTCTATCCCTTTCTGTCTTCTGTCTCCTTTCTTTCTCTCCTTTTCCCTCTCCTCTCCTGTCCTCTGCCCTCCCCTCCTCCCTTTCTCTCTCTCCCGCTCTCCTCACCCAGGTCTATAAAGTAAAGGGGTTCAATGGGACCTGAGAAAATTTACCAAAATTTTTAATTTCTACTATATTTGGTGAACTAAAATAGTACAGTCCAAATAGCCAAAGCAATCCTAAAAACCAAACAACAAAGCCAGAGGTATCACCTTCCCTGACTTCAAATTATACTACAAAGTGATGATAATTAAAACAACATGATTTGACAGAAAAACAGACACAACAATGGAACAGAAATGAGAACCCAGAAGTAAACCCACATGTATATGGCAAATAATTTTTGACAGAGGAGCCAAAAACATACAATGGAGAAGAGAAAGCCTATTCAATAAATGGTGCTGGGAAAACTGGAAAACCACATGAAAAAGAATGAAACTAGCCTTCTGTTTGTCCCCATATCGAAAATTTATTCAAAATAGATCAAAGACCTAAATATGAGACCTGAAACAATAAATCACATACAAGAAAACATAGGTACTAAACTTATGGACCTTGGTTGTAGAAAACATTTTATGAATTTGACCCCAAAGGTGAAGGAAGTAAAGACAAAAATAAATGAATGAGACTATACCAAACTAAAAGCCTTCGACACAGCAAAAGAAACCATCAACAAAACAAAAAGGAAACCAACTCAATGGGAGAAGACATTTGCAAACAACAGCTCCAACAAGGGGTTAATATCCAAAATATATAAAAAACTCATACAACTCAACACCAAGCAAACAAATAGTCCAGTTAAAAATGGGCAGAGGATCTGAACAGACACTTCTCCCAAGAAGATAAACAAATGAATGCTCAACTTCACTAGCTATTAGTAAAATATAAATTAAAGCTACAATGAAATACCACTTCATACTTGTTAGGAAGGCTATATTATCAATAAGACAAGTAAGAACATGTGTTGGAGTGGTTGTGGAGAAAAGGAAACCTTCATTCACTGCTGGTGGAAATATAAACTAGTACAGCCACTATGGAAAACAGTATGGAGGTTCCTCAAAAAATTAAGAATAGAGTTACCATATGACCCAGCAAACCCTCTTCTGTGTATCTACCCAAAAAATTTGAAAACATTTATTCGCAAAGACATATGGGCTCCTATGTTCATTGCAGCAATATTCATGGTGGCTAATACATGGAAACAACCTAAGAGTCCTTCAAGAGATGAACTGGATATAGATGATGTGTTACATATATACAATGGAATACTACTCAGCCATAAGAAAAGATAAAATACTGTTATTTGCAACAGCATAGAAGGACTTCGAGAATATCACCTAAGTGGAATAAATCAGACAGAAAAAGTTAAGAATCATAAGACTTCACTCTTATGTGGGATATAAAACTGAAAGCAACAAATGAACAAACAAGAAAAACAAAAACTCATAGAGACAGAAAAGAGTATGGTGGTTACCAGAGGGAAGGGTTGTAGAGAGTAATAAAGGGAAAAGAGGATCAACTACATGGTAATAGAAGATGATTTGACTTTGGATGGTGGGCACACAATGCAAAATGGAGATTCTGTATCATAGAAATGTACACTTGAAGTCTACATAATGTTATTAACCAATTTCTCCCTAACAAATTTAATAAAAATAAAAAATTATCATTTTGCAATAAATTTTTATAACAAGCTTTTTATAAAATAAATAAAATAAAATAGCATAGTCAAGCCTCCCTTGAACTTTATCCTTTGCTTTACTTTTTGAATGTTGTAGATTTCATCTTTGTTTTGTTTACTTAGTTTGCAGTACTTACAAATTACATGTTATTTTACTTTCTTCTGTATAGTTTTCCTTTACTAGGTACTTCATAAATTATTAAATCTGGGATTCCACTGATTTTCCTAAGTGTTATCTGTGATGATCACAAAAATTAAGATAATTATTTATACTTTAATATAATTTCATCTCATAATAACTTGTCTCCAGAATGCACAAACTTGAAAGCTGGCACATTGAACTATTACATTAAAAATTCCGATGACATTCTTGCATGAAGTTATAACTTAATAAACATCCCTTTGTCAGTTATTTAAACAATGACCAGCAATCAAGAGTATTTAAGTGTCAAGTTACCTGAAATTTTATCAGAGTATTGTATTTCACGTGATTTTCTTAAGAATAAAAGTAGTTACACATTGACCAAAGTAAAAACTATTTTTTTCTTTTCTCTCCCCAGGTAAGACACATTTCTATTATCACATCAGCTTTAAAGTCAATAACATTGACTATGACAGCAAGTTTGAAAAACCATATTCACAAGAATATATGGACCTAAATGAAAAGATAGTGTCTTTGGTAAGTTAAAATGTTTTTCTATAAATTGTCTTTTTAAATGCTATTCTCCCTAAAAGTGCTAGAACCCTAGCAATCACTGCCCAACTTAGAATTTAATAATTTATAAATTCACACTATTTCTAAATTAGGAGAGTCAGTCCTTTCTGAAAGTCAGTTTCTGTCTTGATTCAAATGTTTCCCACACCCATAAAAGACGTGTATTCAGTTTCTTGGAAAGTTATTTTTCCCCTACATATAAGTTTTAATATACATGGAAATAGTTTTAGTAAAAGGTAGGGGCCCAAATTTATTTTATTTTAGGTATAGATAGCCAGCTGTGCTGGCATTACTTATTAAACAATCCAATCCATCTCAATGATTTTAAATGCTATCCCTGTTACATCCTAAATCACCATATATTCTAGGATCTATTTTTTGGATTCTATTGTACATTGGGTTCCACATTAGTTGTGTAGTATTTGTTTCCCATACCTCCATTTTGAACAGTCTTTCATCCTTTTATTTACAAGTATGATGCTTTTAAATAATAGATAACTAAGGGTTTTTTTTAATGTAACGATATTCTTTCATGAAAACAAATTAGTCTATTCACATTAACTGTAACAAGTATTAACTTGATTTTATTTCTCTAGTTTGCTTTAAGTAAATTTTTTTTTTGCTTCCTTTTTCTTATTATTGCTGATTTAAATTCTTTTCCATTATATTTTTTTCTCTTGAAAATGTCAGTACACTTAATTAACAGTTAACTTATCCTTCCTGGAACTCAAAATTACATCAGTATTTTCCTGCTATTATTCAAAACATTATTTTTCTTACCTAACCCTCCTCCCAAAAAAGGGGGGCCTTCAACATACTTTCATTTCTGTCTTCTCCTCCCTTTTCCATTCCCCACTCCTGATAAGACTTTTTAACACTTTCATTTCCTATACCTTCTCTACCCTCCCTTCTTCTTCCTAATAACCATGTTTTGCTGAGATAGTACTTCAAGTTCTAAACTATTATTAGGATGTTTCTTAAAGTATGTTGCTTCCACTTTAAGCATTGAAATTATACATTCATTGTACTAAACATATACACACACATCCCAAGTTTTATTGGCCACCATATACTCCCTCTCTTCTTAATCTTCTCCTCTACTGAGATCTCAATTCAGGTTTATGAGGTCTGTCCACGAATTGCTAGCTATCTATCCATGTAATATGAAAAATAGAGACATTTATTGAAGAAGATTCAAGAAACATCGTACATAGGACAATGACACCTTAGTCCCCTTCAAAGGAGGCAACTTGGGACCTCACACTGTTCTTCCAACTGCAGCACGATGCTCCTTCTGCTCTGGTAGCAGAAGCCATGGAACAAATTTTACCATGGCTCGCTTTATGCCAAGATCCTTCATAAAAATCTTGGACACAGTAGTTTTTGGAATCCCCAGAGCAGTTTCCGGTTCTTGCACTTTCAGTCACAGACCTTTGTTGATTGCAGCTCATACCCGTTAAACATTTCAGGTGTCCTGCTTGTTGCAGGCCTTCCAGAATATGGATCACTTTTACCAGATTCTTGACCATCTTTGAAGCGTTTGTGCCACACTTTTATTTGTACTGCACTCATTGCATTGTCCCCAAAAGCTTTCTGAATCATCCAAATACTTTCCATGGAGGAATGTTCAAGCTTAACGCAAAATTTGGTGCACATTCATTGCTCTAGTGGCTCAGTGATTTTGAATGTGATGGCAACACAGTACACATCCTCACTCAATGGCATCGACAATGAAGTTGTATAATGAAGCTGTCTTTGTTCACACATGCACATTTCAGTCCATTCTCCTTGGATGCCACGTTAAATCAATGTCACACAAACTATCCTCAATATATTAACAGTGGCTGGACTATTCCAGACAGACCTCATACATATTACTTGACTAGTGTCTGTAGTCATGTTTTTCTCAGTTGTGATATGTGAATGATATATTACTAAATCCTTGCATATTCACAAATATCTCTTTTCCTCTGATTTGTGATTATATATTGACTGGGAATAGGATGGTTGAATTGTAAATTTCTTATCTCGGAGTATGAGGACATTATTTCACTGGTTTCCAACTTCAAATGTTGCAAATGAAATTTCTTATTTTTTCTATAAATATATTTTTCTATATAGAAGTTTGCACAAATTTTCCTTTGTATCTAAAGTTCAAGAATATTACCTAGATACATCAAACATGCCTGAAAGTCAGTATACCCCTATGAATCTACAGATTTTGATCTTTATTTAATTCAGAACCATTTTCTTCCTCTATTATAATTATTATATGTCATCCATCTCTTTTTTTCTTTTTTTACACCCCTATTATTTATAGCCATTTCAGGAATCATGCTCTACATGAGTTGTTTGTTTTCATTCATTTTCTTTTTTAAATTTTACTAATTTGAGGTTATTTAAATTTGGATCTCAAGAATAATAATTATTTTTTTTAATTGATTAATAAATTTTTTAACTTGAAAGTTGTATTTTCTTAGTACTACATAGTCTTTTTTTAACTTTTTATATTTAAATTATGTTTATTCTATTACAGTTGTCTTAATTTTTCCCCCTTTGCCCTCCTCCACCCACTCCACCCTCACCGCCCACTCCCACAGTCAGTTCCCACTCTGTTGTCCATGTCCACGGATCATTCACACATGTTCTTTGTTTAGTCCCTTCTCCTTCTTTCCACCATTGTCCTCCTTCCCCATCCTCTCTGGTCATTTTCAGTCTGCTTCATGTTTCCATGCCTGTGGTTGATTTTGTTCATTATTTTATTTTGTTGAATAGATTCCACTCATAGGTGAGATCATATGGTACCTGTATTTCACTGACTGGCTTATTTCACTTACCATATTTTGTGTGTGTGTGTGTGTTTTTTGCTATGCATGAGGGTTCTTATGTGTACTTTTTTCCCATTGTTGTTTAGGTTGCAATCTGTTTCCTCCTGTTCTGTTTTGATAAGCACCTAATCTGTTGTATTTCCTTTCTCTGGCTGCTGGGCTCCTTTTTTTTGCATTAGCATATTTCCTTGTTGGCATATTGAGGCCACTGTTTTGTTGGCTACAAGTTGGAAGGTAAGATGTTCTTATATCCTATAGGCTAAGGGTTGGGCATCAGTCATTCTCCAGACCAAGCTTCCAAGATGGAAGTCTTCCAGCTCCCAATTTTCTGCCTACCACACTAGCTTAGCCCCAAGAGCAAGGAGTCTTAAGTCCCCTTTGCAGCTCCTTTTTGGTATATTGGGGCTATGGAAGCCAACTCCCATGGTCCAGTGTCAACTTGATCCCTGGGCACCCACAAACTTCTGTTGGCAAAGCTCTTCTGAGGGCCTATTGTGATCCTATCTTGGTACAGGGCTCTCAGGTTGTTCTCTAGGTTCTTCCCTGACCCATGGAAAAGACGGGTCCTCATCACTTCCCTGCTTCCAGAACTTCCATTAAACGCAAACCCACTCAACCCCAGGAGAGGCAGATATATTGGAACTGGGAATGAAAGAGAAATATGGCATATTTTAGTTATTATCTAGTTAGAATTCCTCCCTTCACTGTGTTTAAGAATAACACCCAGACCCTTACCATGGCCACCAAAGTTCTCTTTGTTGTCAAAGTTTTCAACAAAGTACCTACATGGACAACCTCAACTTATACACTCTCTCTCTCTTGCTCACTTACGTCACAATACCTTGTTTCTATCCCTCAGTTACACCAATTTCTTTCTTACTTGAGGTCTGATGTTCCTTCCATCTAGAATACACTTCTACCATTTTCATCTCTCAGGTCTCACTCAAATGTCACCTCTTCAGGGACCTGATTTGGTCATTCAAATATTGTCCCCTGAATGACTATATCACATTACTTTATTTTACATTTTTATATCATCTAACACTCTCTCAGATTATGATACTTACGTATATATTCTTTGATCTGCTTATTATCTGTTTCCTCTTTTGAATCTCTAAGAAAGAATGGATCTAATTCATAGTTTTATTTAAATAAACATTTATTGAATAAATGAACACATTCTAATTGCTTTGGAGCAGGAGGAAAAATAAAAGTTAAATCTTTGCAATTCTAATGAGTCAATTTTTGAAGGTCTGTGTTTGCCAAAGTAAAAGTCATGGGCATTGCAATTTGATATCTGGTACTCTGTGAAGGTCCCACAGTGGGAAATCATCCATTAAGTAGAGATCAGAAGCAGTTGAGAAAATGATTCTTTCATAAAATTTACTTGACAGATATCTATATATCCCACTTTAAAACTGTCAGCAGCATATAATTAAAATAGAAGTCAAAATGACTTGCAGTCCAGACACTTAAAAAAAAAAAAAAAAAAAAAACTCGTTTTGAGAACATTTCTGTCAAGTTTTATGTCATCAATGTTCAATAAAAGGCTGAATATGGGAGAAAATCTATTAGTTGGTCTTTTGAATCCACCTCTTCAAAATGAATATTCTGATGTATCATGCTACTTTTAGAAACAAATACTTTTGTCTCACTGTGCCACATAACTTTTTAATTTAAAAACACTAGTGAACAAACTGAGTCAGTATAAAGGTAATTTTCAAAAAGGCACATATTTAACACATTACATATTTTTCCTAAATGAGTCATGATCTAGGGACATTTTAATACTATGTATTTGATGGTATTAAGGAATTAGTTAATTCCTGAGATGTAGGTAGTAGTAAAATGAAACTGTTTTGACCATTTATTAATAACTGGGAAGCTGAACAATGGGAACATGTGTTTTGTTACACTATTCTTTCTGCTTTCATGTATGTTTGAAGTTCTCCACAATGAAAACTTAAAATAAAAAAAGAAAACATAATCATCATGCATTTTACTTTTTAACAGGTAAATGAAACATTTCATGGATCCAAACTGAGAAGACAGTATGTCAAATGCCATGTTGTCCAAGTAAGGTATATAAAATAGCCTGAGGCACAGAGAAGAAATTTCTGTCCTTCGCTTTCATATATCATACTCAACATAATATCTTTGCTTGGTATACAATTGAAAAGTTGAAAGAACTTTCAATTTGGGGCTTCAAAACGACTAGCATTAAATTGGGGGGCGAGGGGATGGTATTCAAGGTCTATTGAGAAATTATTAAACCAGAATCAAGAGTTCCAGTTGATTGTGAGCTTCAGATAAAGGTTAAATGGGTTTACTTTTTACTTTAAAGCACAAAGTAAAAAAGCCAATCTAAAATCAGGAGATGATTTCAAAATAAAGAAAGAATAGGTAAGATAAGAGAACCGCATACAGAATGTCTGACCCAGGAGCGGCCAACTAGTAGCTAATGGGCCAAATCTAGCTTAGAGTGTGGATTAAATGTAAAGTTAGGAAATTTCACATTAAACCAAAGAACTTTCAGAATGTTGAAAATTCAAAAGATGTGACAACACGGAGCCCACATTCCCACATGGTAACAATATACTGAGGTTGGGGCTTTGCAGTTTGCAGCAGTCCCAAATATTCCTGCAAGGTATGCATATGGCTTTTACATTACCTTTCTGCCCCTCTAAAAATCCAGTTCTCCATCTATTTTCTAGCACTGAAGATGTTTATCCAAGCACTGGGAGAAGCAGATAACTTGCTACAGATAGGAAAAGCATAATAGCTATAAGCACAAATAGAAATGTTAATGTGCTTTGAAATCTACCTCTTCTTAAAGCTAGAACTTGCGCTATTTAACTCTCTATGTTCTCTCTATGTTTATTTTTAAATAATTCATATTCTGAACTTTTTATATATTAACACATTTAACCTGATAACAACCCGCTATGATTTAAGTATTAGTTTCCCATAATACAGATAAAGAAACTGAAGGAAAGATAACTTAGGTGACTTGCCAAGGTCACACATTTAATAAATAATGAAGGTGTAGTTTGAACTCAGGCAGTTATTTCTAGCTTATTTCATCAACTTGTCACTCTTACCCCATTACAATCCATTCCCCCCAAAGCAGTTAAAGTGAATTGGAAGAGCATATAACTTCTCTACTTAATATTATTTGATCATTTCCCACTTATTCCAAACTCCTTATATAGTCCACATGGCCCTACCTGATCTGGCCGTCTCTCTCTGACCTCATGTCATACCCTTGCCCTCACTTGTGACTTTATATCCAGACTCATCCGCTATTATTTGTCCAATAAACATGCAAAATTGCATCTGCCCAAGGAAAACTAAACTCATGTTTTCATGACAGGAGGTGGCTTTACAACTTGGACTAAGGGTCCCACCAAGGTTAGCCATTCACTTTCCCACAGAAACTGAGAGAGGGGCAACCTCCTTTGATGGTTTTATGTCAAAGAGATGGCTTTTCTGTCCGTGAGAAAGATATTTCTAGGGTTAATATACAAGAGCTTTTTAAAAGATTTACATATAATTCAAAGGGGCAGAGGAAGAATTTACAATGACAAGTTTTCTAAAGTAAATAATTTTTAAAAAGGGATTCAGGGGCCTAGAGTCAGGGAGAAGCCTGTCAAACATTTAACAAAGCCAAGGAGAATGTTACAGCTATGTTGGTCAAGGTTTTTAAATTTGATGTTCCTTCTCTCTGGAACATCCCTCCTTCAGATCTTAGTATGACTCACACCTTGTCTTGAGGCTCTTCAAAGAGGCTTCCTATAATGTTCTTACTTCCACCCTTCAAATCATTGCTCTACTCTCTTCATAGAATTTATTGTAATGGTTATTTTACTCCTTTGTTTTCTTGTTTATGTCTCTCCTACTAGCATAATAGGAAGGATCTTGTGATCTTATATGAGCTGATATAGCTCTGGTACCTAGAACTATTTCTGGCATATTGTCTAGACTAATTAAGGCACATTTGTTAAAAGAATGAATGAATGAATTGAAAGATCAGGAATGTAGAGGAAAACAGACATTTGTCATACAAAACTAAAAAATATTTTATGAGTCAAGAGAAGATAAAATTAAAATAATTTTTAGTTCATGTTTTCAGTAGGAAACAGGATCCTATTACCCTACTAATGCCAGGTTAAGATTCCATATATTTATATTAAGTTTGGTTTTATAGTTATTTGACACAGGAAAAAAAGTCAAAGTGACATCCCTGGTTTGAAAAAAATCTTTAAAATAAACAAAGTAATATAATATGTCCTTGTCTATTGCATAAGAAATAAAGGATTTGTTCCTATAGATCAGGCAAGAAAAAATTAGCATTGCACCTGCATAAAAGCATAAGAAGTGAGAATACTTAATAAATTTGCATATAGTAACTAAATGCTTAATATTGTATAAAGGAAATAAAAATAATTCAAGTATAGCACTCAAAATAAGAATATACATACACATACCCTAAAACATAAATAATAAGGAGTGACATAAAAATTAGCTAACCCTTTGATTTAGAATTACCCTGGAAAAAAAATTAAAATAATAAGGCTTCATAATCATTTATAATCTTGGATCTTGGCCATGGTTTCTGTTTTTGTTCATGAGTGTTGTGCAGGTTTGGAAGTGTATGTTTTTAGGAGTTTTCTTTAGTCTCATAAAGCTTTGTGGTAGTTGTGGATTTTCAAACACGCAAATGCAAAGGAACACCTAGAGAGGCAAGGAGGCACAGAAACAGAATAGAGCAGAAGAGAGGTTGCATCGAGTCAGTGGCAGTTACTCCTTTGAAAAACTATCGTTTGTTTATTTGTTTTTACTTTGCTTATTTTCTATATTTGCATCTTCAAGTCAGAATTACAAATTTAATAAATCTAATCTAATGTTTTTGCTCAGTCATGATTTCCAACAGGTGAAAAGGAATTGGCCCGCTCTTGAAAATTTTGCCTTCACTTAAAAAAAAAGGATAAATGATTCTCTCACTTTATGTGTTACATTTCATTTTGTTATTTGCTATCAGCACTTTATACAGAGTCCATACTGTATTTATCATGCATAGATACATCTATCATACATAGATACATCCAAATTCTGCACAGTACTCTAATATTTTTAAATACCTCCATATACATTATCTTATATGGTGTTTATAATAACCCAGTAAATAACATTACCATTCCCATTATAGAGATGAGGAAATTTAAGTATAAAGAATGCCAACAGCTTGCTCCTTGTTATGATTTCAAGGAGGTGGCAAACAGTGAATCTAGAAAACAAACTCACTTCCCCTGAGTCTAAATCACAACCCATTTACTACTCACCATGTCCAGAAAGTGCCATTTTCATGCCCTTGGGAAAAAAGTTAAATAGTTGCTAGGAGCTCTGCTTAGCAAAGTATAGAATGACTCTATTAAGAATAATAGAGGCTCCGTAATAAAAGCCTAATTGATTTGTCTGTTTCTATTCTGCAGCCGAGCCAAAGGGAAAGTGGTAATACATGCTGTGCTGAAGTTTATGTCCTACCTTAAATGTAAAGCAGCAAAATTTTGGGATAGGATAGAAACCATTTTACATCAGAAGTTAAATGGTGAAACTGGGTCTTTACATATAGATTCATCTTCGTTTACATTTTCAGGTAAACATTTTTCTATATGGTATAGAATGATTTTCAACTTTTAATTTGAATATGGTCTTTTGTTATGCAATTGAAAACCACACCTCTCTTTAAAAATACTTCATATACAGTACTTGTACTTTTAAAGTATCCAGGGTTCATTTTAATCAATTTTTTCATATAATATCATCTTTGTATTATTGGAATTAAACCTAACTTAATGATAGTTTTTAAAAAGGTAATCAGTTTCCCAATAACATTTTTTTGCCACACAAAGGCAGCCTTTCATTCTTTAACTACTATGGCTTGTTCTGTAGGTTATGATTTCTCCCTCTCTTCTTTTGGATGTCTCAAGAATATAGACTCCTATATTCCAGAGTTGAGTCTGAATCTCTCTAACATCAAACTTACTTCGTGATAGACCTTTAATGGACTTTGTCTCTCTCACTCTTACATACAATCTAATTCTTATTCTTGGTCACCTAACACTATTGTAAAAGGCATCTTATAAAAAGTAGGGAAAAATGTCCCACCATTCCCAGGAAATGAGAGTCTCTCTAACCTTGATTAAAAAAACAGGCAACACTTGGCACAGCTGAGCTAGGCTATCAATTCTCTGGTACAACAAATTTGACTAAGGGCAGAAAAATATTGTTACCCCTACAGGAAAAACTAAAAGGACTAAATGTTCATGGGGGGGGGGGGGTGGAAATATTCTAGGCCAAGGGTTCATTTGCATGGAACATCAAAAGACTCAAAAAGCAAAACCTGAACATGCTTCTCCTGGCTAAGAAGCCATCAGGTGGTTGAAATGTAACTCTGCTCACATTATTTGATGCTTTCTCTTACTAACTTCCTTCTCACACAGCTTATTCTATGTGTCGTGACCGCAAAAGAATACAGAGAAATAAAACAGCTCTCCAATTTATAGAGAAGCTGCCAGCAAAGATATATTTTGGGAAACTCATTTGCTAAAACCATGAACTCACAAGTTAAGAAACAGCATTATATTCCCGATATTCCTCCAAGCTTTAAAAACATTATGTAGGATACCAGGAAAACAGACTTTCTGTGTGTCTTTTCCAGACATATGATTTTTCTCAGTAGTTTTATCTATTATAATTCTATCCTACAATTTTATGGAGAGCAGTGACTGTTAAGTGTAATACACTTAAATGTGGATGGTGCTTTGATATTGTTTTAGCCTGTACCTGTTGCTTAGAAACTCCCTCTCTTCTCTCACCTCCCATCAGAATGTAGGTGTCTCCTGAAACTGACTGGGGGTTCACAGGAGCAGAATCAAACCCAGCAGCCAAATGGGCCAGTCCTCTAACACTACAATGAAATAAGTTGACACAAAGCTCACATTCAAGGCAACAAGACAGCTCCTACTGAAAGGGAATGTGAATCTTCATTGGTCACGACAGAAATGTGTCTCTGGCTTAGGGATCTATGAAAAACTTGTTTAGATAGTCAAGGGTGCTGTCACAGCATCTTAGCCTGACCTCCTTATGTTGCCTGGATAGGTCAGTTACTTAGAGTCTGCCTCTGAGTGTGTCAAGGTTGTGGGTTTCATTTTCATACAAGCTGCTTAATATAGAAGGAAAAGTCAAAACTTCCTACACTAACCAGTGATATTAGTTACAATGAAGGGTTGAATACAGCACCAGTGTTTCTATATCATTAGGCCAAATAGAGGGGATAAGAAACAGTGGATAAGGTCAGGAGTCCTGCTAGGAGATTTAAATCCCAGGTCCGCTACATGTTAGCTGTGTGACTTTGGAAAAATTACTTAAGCCCTGGCCAGCATGGCTCAGTTGGTTGGAGTGTCCTCTCATAGACAGAATTGCTGGTTAGGGCACATACTCAGGTTGCAGGTTTGATCCCTGATTGGGGCACATACAAGAAGGCAAGCAGTTGATGTTTCTCTCTTGAATCATTTCTCTCATATCATTTCTCTCTCTCTCCCCACCTGCCTCCCCCACCGAAAGGAATGGAAAAAATATCCTCAGGTGAGGATAAAAAAAAAGAAAAATTACTTAACAATTCTGTGCTTCAGTCTAACCATCTCATCATGAGAATGATGATAATAAAAATACTGCAAATGTTTGTTCTGTTTAAAAGATCTAATGTACTTTTTAAAGAACAAGACTGCTACAGAGTATGTATTAATTGTTGGGTTTTTATCTAGAGAAAAAGAGGCACTCAAAATATGTCATATGGGTTGAGGTTTGAAAGTCACCTCTCCTGATAGATAAATAGATAGATAGATAGATAGATGATAGATAGATAGATAGATAGACAGATGATATATAGATAGATAAGAAAGAAAGAGAGAGAGAGAGAGAGAGAGAGAGAGAGAGATCTGATGTTACTATTATTAGCAGCCCTGTCCCTACTCAGGCCACAGTGGGTAAGGGCAAAGAAACTGGAAGCATTTCTAATAGAGAATGACCTCCTAAAACTCTAGCGTAACAGTAGTTAACTCCATATCCCCACCTCTAAACTTCCAACAAACACAAATTATTTTATCTTATAAAGCTTTACTTCTTCATCTTTAAAAAGGAGATTATGGTTCATATACTTCATTGTGTTCATTCTGAGAAAAAAAAAATGAGCACATACATCTAAAGCCCTTAGTGCAGTGCTTGCATAGAGTGAGTACTTAGCAAATAACTTTCTTCCATATATGCACTTTAAAACAGAATATTATCCCAGCCATCATGGTTATTCTTCTGATAATTATATACTTGGATATTCACTACACAGCCAACTAAATCCTAGGGAGTATACCTATGTGCTTTTTATGTATAGCTTCAAAGCAGGGCAATAGTACATTGAAAAAGATTTTACAAGCCTCAGGGGGGATCAAGAAAATCAGTGGCAGTTGAACCAAGGGATAGAAATCAATGTTTTTATAAAATTAAAAAGTTAATCAACTAAAGTGTCCATTATTAACTTTTCAGTACTTAATAAGTAAGTCTACCCCTAAGAAAATTGCTTTATGTAATTCTTAGTTATAATACCAAATCACTACCAGGCAAATTTTAGAATCATCTATTATTGGCTTAATTTATTTATCACTTATTAAAAAAATATTGACAGAATACTGAGTGTGGTAAAGGAAATTTGAATGAAATATTACCTTATTAGTTATTTTTTATTTATGCTAATTTTAAATTCATTTACTTTTTCTACACACATACCAAATTATACTGGAGTGAGTATCTAAAAAGAGTATTACTTGGCGATTTTTAAAAAATTTGCCATGGATCATCATGACTACAAAGCAAAATCTCACAGGACTTTCAGTTAGAATTTGTATTCTTTATGAGGACCACACATGTTAAGTTATTTATCTCATATGAGTAGCAAAATCATATTGAAAATAGGTTACTGGTTTTTGGTCCAGATCGAATCCATAAAAATGCATTATTCATTGCACTGTGGACATTTGAAAGACCTTAGAACTGGAAAAGACATTAGAAATCTCTAATTTGGTTGTCTTATTTAGAGATAAATAATGAGGAGACTCAAGACTTGAAACCATGTCTTGTGATCCCCAGTGCTCTGTGCATTCTCTACACTAATTTATGAGTCAGTTAAAACTGAGAGCTGCACTAAAAATCTAATTGAGCTGCAGATTTAAAATCCTTAGAGGAAAAATAATCCGCCTTCTTTTTCCAAATATGTAGTCAGTCATTCTAAATCCAAATCTTCACACACTGTCTTCAGTTTTAAATCAATGAAGATATAATATAAATCCATATCTAGCTTAAAGAATTGCTGAGAGTAAAATCAAATATTATAAAATATGAATTTTAATAAACAACTATGAGGTACTTTGTACAAACACTTTGCTAAGCACTATGGGGAATTCAGAGACAACAAGTATTGTCCCTCTCAGCAAAAATCATACACACACTTGAGCTCACACTGAGTTAGTGTATATGAGACAAAAGAAACAATTAGTATCATTACTTCAGGAATATATTTTAAGTTTATCCAGTATAAGCAGTGTGATGTGGATTGGACCTAATGGTGTAATCAGCTGGTAAAACCAAACAGTGACTGCAAGCTGCTAGAAGAGAATAGATGAAAACTGGTTTCTGTCAACATGTCCAAAGCCCTATGTTTTTCAGTCCACTTGCCTCTATGCCCTGGTCACCAGCCTTGGCCAACAATTCCAGCAGAGGTTATATTCCTTTGACACAGCTCTCACAGAAGCCCATTTTTTCTTTCACAGTACTTTCTTGGGTTTTGATTATATATTCACTATGGTGATTATTTGATAACTGATTCTCTCTCCCATCAGATCATAACTTCCATAAGAGCAGAGACTATGACCATTTTTGCTCACCATTATATTTTTAGAGCCTAGCACAGGTTCTAGCACATAGCAGTTAATGGTTGTTGGATGAATTAATGAATTCCATAAAATCAAAGCTGTAACTGAAAGCCAGAAAAAGTTTTCTATATAGATATATAATAGATATTCCTTTATATTATATATATTTATATTCATTTATATAATATTCCTTTATATATAAATATTTTTATTTATATTCCTTTATATTATATATTTCTTTATATTATATATATTTATATATATATGAGAGTATAAGATCTATATAATCACCCTTCTCAGCTGAGGTTCTGCAAAAAAATTAATCCCTAAAAAAAATGGTATGCATGACTGTTTTCAGTTCTTCCAAGGTTGATACATAGTACTATTCCAAAGGCATAAAAGAGAAGTTCATTAATTTCATAAAAATAAAATTACCCTAGAGCTTAATTCTCTTTCAGAATCCCAACTGATGGAGCTGATGGCAAGTGTGCCTCATGTATACTACTAGTAGACATTGCTACCCCAGATTTAGTATGTAAAGAGCTTCACCTATCATGACCCATGAGCATAATGTGTAATTACATTTTCTAATCATCCTGAATTCCATGAAAATGACAATGCTACTATGTTCCAGGGTACTAATAATCAGTGAGAGATAAATGTTTTCTCCATC